GCTGCTCCAAAGCTTCCCTGTGGGCTGAGGCTGGGGCTTGCTTGAAGGCCGCTTCCTTCCTTGGTCTCTTCCCCTTCCCCGTCCTCATTCCCCACTCTGTCTTCCTGGTCTTTTCTGGAATTACATCCATAAGAAATCCCTTGCACATAAAACCTCATCTTAAGAAGTATGAATGTGTTTTTAAGAAATCCAAACTAAGGAAGTAACCTGGTACTGTCTCGATCCTGAATGTCTGAAATATAAAACTCTGAGTATTGACAAGAGGGGAAAATTCCATATAAACACACACACACACACACACACACACACACACACACACACACAAAATGCATCCTATGAATTACCTTAAGGACTATGTTTGAAACATAAATGAATATTGTAGTTAGACTTGGGTTCTATCCCTAAGACACAGACTCTCTGTCTGTCTCTCTCTGTATGTATATATCTATAGATACAGATATTATATAATGCAAATCTTCCACATATATGCAAATCTTCCAAAAAATCCTAACACTTGGGCTAAGGGACACTCTAAGGGCTCTCCCCACGGCCCCCCCAGAAGGCAGACCCTCCTTCATAGGAGCCTGCCATCACTGGGCTCTGGGAACATGCTTTCCTCCCCCATCCCTTCTGCCCTATGTCGGGTGGTAGACAGAGGGGGAGTCCTCTGTGACTAGTCCCTTAGGGCCTCAGTATTCCAGTGTTTCCTTAACCCTAAGCACGTGACAGTTATCCCTCACTAAAGCCTCTTGAAACTTCCAATCAGCACATTTCCCACCTGAACCCTACTTCCAGGACACCTTTTGGACACGTGCATAGAGAGGTTGAGTTGGCAAAGGCAGCCCAGGTCCTGGGCCAGGACATGAAGGTCATGGGCCTGGATGAACACCCAGAGAAAAGAGCACCAGCTCAGAACCCACCTGGGATATCCAATATGCAGGGTGAGCAGAGAAGGAGGAAAGAGCCACAGGCATCAGCTGAGAGTACTCTCCTGGAAGCCTAGAGAAATGTGTACACATGTTAGGCAACTGAAGGAGCCCAGGACAAGAAACTAAGCCCTGGATTTGGCCACACTGTTGCTGGTGATCCCAGTGGGTGGTCAGGAAAGGAGATTAGGGGATGGAAGAGCAGGGCACACCTTGCATCGGGAAAGCAAGGCTGGACTTCTGAGTCCAGGTACCATGGAGTGGTGGCGAGGCCCAGGGGCAGGGCCATGAGCAACTCCTGGAAGCCTTTAGGGAAATACTATGACATCCTGACAAAGAAGCACAGCACACTCCTGACTGGTGTGGAAGAGGCCTTGCAGGTCAGCCTGGGAGTGCAGGGAGCCAGAAAAGGCTTTAATGTGGGGGAAAAGCTCAGAGCTGAGTATGAAGAGACTGTCCTTCCTGGCCCAAGAGCCTGTCACAAAGCCTGACACATTGTAGGTGCCCAGTGAACATGATTAACTGTGCATGGCACACAGGCTGTGTGTGATGTAGCAGATGGTGGCTAACATCACCCCATGACTGATGTAAATATTCCATGGGAGTAAAAAGCCACTCCAAACTAGAAACAAAAAAATTAAAAAGCCAGATGTAGAAAAGCACCAACTTAATTAAACACTGACAACTGGATGGCCAGCATTTCAAAGCCAGGGGTGTTTCACACATCAGCACGAGGTATTGTGATCTCTTGTTCCCCTAGGGGGCAGTTGTTCCAGCAAGTAATGTTGGGAGGCAGGGCAGAATTTTCTGGGTAACTGGATTATAGCTGGGAATAAACGGCTCATAAATGTGGGATGACAGATAAGTTATACTGCAGCTCCATGGACTGCTTCTACTTGGGAAGAGAAGGAAGGGAGGGGAAGGGAAGGGAGGGGAAGAGAAGGGAAGGGAAAAAGAAAGGAAGAGAAGAAAGAAAGAAAGAGAGAGAGAGAGAGAGGAAGGAAGGAAGGAAAGAAGGAAGGAACAAAGGAAGGAAGCAAGAAAAAAAAAGAGAAAAAAGGAAGGAAGGAAGGGGGAGAAAGGGAGGAAGGGAGAAAGAGGAAGGAAGGAAGGAAGGAAGAACAGACTTTCTGATTCCAATTTTAAAAGCAAAAGATGAAGAGAAGACACCACCCACTGCTAATTGCTCACAGACCAGTGCCTGTGCTAGCTCAAATGCAAAAGCTGACATGATAAAAATGTTAGCATCTTGCGATCTGCTGTTAATAAACTGTAGCACAAAGGCACAGAGGGGCCTTACATCTGCTCACAGGATGCTGCACAGCTCAGGGAACCCTGTGCAGCCTGCCTACTCCATTGCTGGCTCGCCAAGCTGTCTTGGAATCCCCAGGTCCTGGGCTTAGGGAAGAGGCAAAAGGTGTCATGGCACCTTCAAGGAGCTTGGCAGAAGGGATGGCGGAGAAAAGCGTGTTTTCAGATCCCCATGTGTTGGCGCCTATGGAAGGTGGACAGTTTTGAGGAGGGGAGAGGACTGGGGACTACCTGCTATGATAGCTTGTATAGACCAGATCAGTTGACTATAGGTCAGCCAGCCAAGGGTGACTCAATGATGAGGGGTCATTGTGATGGCCCCACCACAGGGGAAATCTCAGCAGGAGAAACCTTTATGAAGTTAAGGTGGAAGTAATGGCTAAAGATTAGAACCATCTAGCTGTCTCTCGGTAAGAGAGTAGTTATCAAGTTGTATAGATTGTATGAAATATTACATAGGTGGTAACAAGAATGAAGAATGTGCAGATCTTTAAGCTCTGATACAGAAACTTATAATGAGGGTCTTGAAACTTAAGTTTTACATTTGAATGGAGAAAAAAATCACATCTTAACAACCTATAATTCATTCAGTCCTGGTAGAACTAGCCGTGCCAGGCCACTGGCAGAGGTCACAGAATTTCTCCCAATACTTTACACTACACTTGAAGCAAAACCTCAGACCAATCACTGAGCAACTTAGTAACTTTATATGCTAGTTCTAAGCTGTTCAATGTGTTATGCAAGAAGAACACATATGACTATATCATAAATCTATTTATTTTGACAGAGGTGTCCAACTTAATTGGTTTCCTCGGGTTCGTCTCTGAGAAAGGGTCACAAGCTTCACCAGCTGACCAAAGGAGTCACAACACAAAAACTGAGTAACATGCAGAACCATGTAACTTGTATGTGTGTGTGCATGCATGTGTGTATAAAACAGATCATTTGACTCCAGAGACAAGCCCTCAGAAATATGCTCAATTGATTTTTTTTTTTTGTATGTGTGCTGGTCCTGGGCCTTGAACTCAGGGGCTAGGCACTGCCCTTGAGCTTCTGTGTTCAAGGATAGCCTTCTACCACTTGTGCCACAGCTCCACTTCTAGCTTAAGGTAGATAATTGGAGAAAAGAGTCTCACAGACTTTCCTGTCCAAGCTAGTTTGAACCAAAATCCTCAGATCGCAGGCTCCTGAGTAGCTAGGATTATAGGTGTGAGCCACCAGTGCTTGGCTGCTTGATTAACTTTAACAAAGGGACAGCAAAATCCAGTGCCAAAAGGTGAGCAACTGGACATCCACAGGTCAAAAACAGAACCCCAACTTAGAGTTAAAGTAATTCAACAGACAATATAAAGCTATCTGAGTAAACTGAGTGGATTATATCAACTTCCCATGATACTGTGCTAGAGTTTTGTACAATATTATCCATGGTGGAAGCAGTACATACAATTTCTCAGTATTATCTTTTTTCTTATTCTTTTTCTGCCAATTATGGCTTTTAACTCGAGAATCACACTTGCTGGGAAGATGCTCTACCACATTAGCCATGCCTCCAGCCCTTATTTTCCTTTACTTTTCAGCGAAGGTTTTGCACTTGGTCCAGGCTGGCCTGGACTGTAACCCTCTTACCATGTCTCTCAAATAACTGAGAGGACCGGAGAGCACCATCACATCCAACTTGTTTGTTAAGATGGTAGTCTCTTAAACTCTTTGTCAAGGTTGGTCTAGAATCATCCCAATCTTCACTTCACAACGATTACAGGCATGAGCCATTTCTGTATTTTCTTTTTTTGGGTCCGGTCGTGGGGCCTGAACTCTGGGCCTGGGTGCTGTCCCTCAGCTCTTGAGCTCAAGGCTAGCGCTCTACCACTTGAGTCACAGTGCCACTTCCGGCTTTTTTCTTTTTGCCTATGTGGTGCTGAGGAATCAAACCCAGGGCCTCAGGCATGCAAGGCAAACACTCTACCACTGAGCCACCTTCCCAGCCCACCAAGGCTGTGGTGGAGACCATGGAAGCCCTTGCCTAAGCAAATGACAGGCCCTGAACCCAAATCACCTAAACCTACCCAGGCTCCTGCCTAATTCAGCCCTCTACCAGAACTGTGAGAGAACAAACTTTCCACAAGGATTTCCACTGCTCGTTTTATTTCAACAGCTAATTGTCCCCAGAAAGGAAACTACTGATGTGACAGGCGATTCTATTCTCTGAGAACTGCTTCCGTGCTTGTAAGTGGCCTATTAAAAAACATCCAATAGTAAAACTTGAACAGATTTTTCAAACCAGAAATGATACCTATGACAGCTTAAGCTTCATGGAGGGGAAGTGAAGCATCCATGGTGGTCAGGGTGCTCACTAGCCAAACAACTGGAGAAGGGTGAGGGCCAGTGACCAAGTAAAGTGGGACACTATGGGACACTGCAGACCAGCTGTCAGTGCCCTGGCTGCTCGCACTAGCCATCTGGATGGGTTGGGAGCCTGATGTGTGTAGTGTCCCAGCCCTGGGGACCAGGCAAAGGTGGCAGAAGACTGAAATAAATGGTGCCTTCTGTCCTGAGTGGAGCCTGAGGAAATCAAAGGCCGCCTTTGGGGGAGTCCCATAAAGGGTGTCCCCCAGGATGGTTAAATTCATTCCCGTGAGCTTTACCAACCCCCACTCCTCAGAGTCCTGGCCCTCCCTCTCAAGTTATATCTTCCCCCATGCCTCTCTTCAACACCAACCTTCAAAATCACTCATCTTCCACCTTGAATGGAAATTAGCTGCCCACTTAAACCTATCAATATCCTTCTTTCCAATGATGAACATAAACAAGAAAATCATTGCTCTAATACCCCTGACTCCCCTGCCGGCCGAGGGTGGCCTGGGGCTTAGTTAGACTTCTCCTGAGATGATGGCTGACTGGGTTCTTGAGGAGCCACTGCACCCTGGTCGCCTGTGAAAGACACGGAAGACAGCTGATTTAGAAAATGCGAGTCATCTGTTCTCACACGCAGAATTTTTTCTCCAAGGTTTCCCTACCATTCCCAGCCCTGTGGTCAGTGAATCTGCCTGAACTATGTCAGGTGGAAGACTGGCATTCTAGCCCGGGACACACACTACAGATGCCAGCTCCACCTCCACCTCTGTTCCTCACTCTCAGAATTGCCTTGTGAGGACAGCATCACTATGGATCCACTTTTGCAGATGCTGAATAAAGCCTGGAGGAGAGAAGGTGCTCCTCAAGTCACGCAGCTGGAATTCAGGAGCCAGGACTCATGTCCAGGCCACCACCACTGGGCCAGCGAGCTTCCAGCCACCTAGGCCAGCTCATATGGATATTATATACATATCAAGTGTGCAGCAGGCCTTGGGGTTGGGAGCATCAGACTCCCCCAGCTCATGAGTTGGTTCTGCCGGTCACATTGAAGACACCTTGTTCAAATCCAATCCACGATCCTAGAAGCATTTGGGGCCTGCGAATCCTATGCCCCTCCCACAGATGCACACTTGTGGAAATGGCATGAGGGTGTGGGGACCGGTGGTTCAGATTCTGTGTCCTATACCGCTTCTCTCCACCCCCATGCCACATGGCTCTCCTCCTTCAGAAAGTCTTCCTGGCTCTTCTGGATATGGGAAGACTTACCAATGTTCTCCCTGTCTGTATCAGACAGGATGGCCAGAGAAAAAGGCGGTGGTGATGGTGGTGGTGGAGGTGGTGGGAGGAAGTGGAGTGCAGAGAGAAAGCCTGGTGGCAGGAACTGGGGCTGTGGCACTTGGGGGGGTGGGGGTGGGGGGGGGTGGCGGCGGAGGCGGAGGCGGGTAGTAGGTTGGTTGGAAGTCTCTCACTGGTTCCGACACCTGTGTGACACACAGCAGAAAGCTGAGAGACAGCTAGGTAAGCTGGCCAAACACACTTCTCATTCCCCAGAATGGGTGGCTCCCTTTAGTGTAATCACAAGACACCTGTCACAGGACACTTGGAGCAGGTGTTCATTAACACCAGCTAAAATGACTGAAGGCTAGAAGGATTGCAGATCTCTTAGGCTAAGCCTGAGACCAACGGATCATGACACTGAGGGCATCTTCTCTTCTGCATGTGCTGGGAGATGGTGTCCATATCCTTAAGGACTAGGAGGTGAGTTCTATTGCTACCTTGGCAGTACTGATAAAAAGCAGATTCAGGGCTGGGATGTAGCTCAGCGGCAAAACACTTGCCTAGCAAGATCAACGTCCTGGGTTCGATCCCCAGTACCAAAAAAGAAAAAAAAAAAAGACAAAAAGCAGATTCAGTGAAAGAATGCTAGGAGCTACCAAGCTGGTCAGAGGCAAATCTGTGTGAGCCCACTGAGCTGGTCACAGTGCTGCTGTAGAGTCAAATGCAACTTGATCCAAGAGACTCCCTTTCTGGTATAGGAGATGACTTTAACCCAAGTGTCAGGAGACCTTTAGGGCAAGATATCAACAAGCTAGGTGTAACCTGGCTGCTCACGAGGCAAGGGAGGCTAGGTGACTCAGGTATGTGGCTCCAGAGGCCAGACTACCATGTTTGGGCTCCTTCAGGTGGTGGACGCTAGGCCCTGCCCACTGGGAGGATCTAGAAGGGGGGGAGGCAGTAGGAAATATAGGAAACTGTCATGCATTTGACTCAGGCACCACTAGGCCTCTGAAGTACTGGTAAGTGCTCCTCAAAGTGTTCTTTGTCAAGTGAGTTTGAGAATCCTCACATCCAGTTCCCTACATTGGAGGGTCAGATATGATATACTTAAGGCTCTAGATAGTTTCCTTACATGAAAGCAGTATTTCCTGACTTGATTTGACCGCAGGAAAGGGAAGAACTTCATTCTTAATCAGCTACTATGTTCCAGACCCCGAGCTAGGCACACCTTATTGAACCTGTTCATGAACAGGTGCTCCTATAACTCTGTCACACTAGGACCTCACCCTGAGTGAGCTCCTGGTCAGTCAGGACACTTGTCTTGGGGGCAGAGGTGAAAGTACACCCTGAGCCTGTTCAACTCCAGATGAAGCAGCAGGTGCACAGGGATAGGACAAGGAAAGGGGAGATGTCCCTAGGGAGTGTCTCCAGCCTGTGCAGGGGCAGCAGAACACAAGTAAAATGACTCACCAGCTTTTAGGTTTGAAACAGCTTCTCTCATATATCTGATCCCCCTCAGATGTGACTGGGGTGGAAAGGGGATTATTAGTGCTTTAATCCCAAGATGTTCAGCTCCTGTCAGGAGTCTGTGGTGGGAGCTCAGGCCCAGATAACTGACTGAGATCACAGTCTTAACATAAAGATGTCTCACACACCCATCAGTCAGAGCCCTGCCCTGGATGCCAGGTTCAGGCTTCTGTTGAGTAGAAGGTGCATTGTTGGCTCTCTTTGGCCACAGCCCCTCTCTCTGTATGGAGACCGGTGACGCCCTGCTTTCCTGGCTGCAATGGGTTAGCCAAAGGCAACCCCACAGGTGCTGGCAGCAATGAGATGGGCCAAGAGCCAGGTCTGCTCTGCCTCTATGTGAGACACACACTTAGGGCAGGAGAAAACTTCCAAGTGCTAGAGTCAATGATGTTGGTACACATTCTAGCTACCTACCAGCCAGCTGCATGATCTGAATCTCAGTCCCTCATTCATGCAGGAAGCATGGAGGCCCTTCTAGCAGCAGCATCCCTTGAGTCAAAGCTAGTGATCACCCTGTGCTCTGGAGCCTTCTAGCTTTGAAAATGTCACAGGCCCAGAGGTACAGCCCCCTCTACAAAGGGCCCTCCTAGAGGTGTACCATTTATGACCACTGGCTTCCAGGGACTACAAGCCAATAAAAGTCAGCAAGGGAAGCCAGGATAAGGAGGAGGAAGCTGGAAAGAGTTGGGGTTGGGACTCACCAAGCCTCCTCCATGGTAGTGGCTGCAAGAGACATGCCGGAAGCTCCTCTGTGGGGACAGCCCCAAGCCTGGGGATGTATCCTGGTAGCCCAGAGAGAAGGTGCAGTAGGAATGCATGGTGGAGCAGCTGGGGTACAGCTTGGAAGACTCTCTCTCCATGTACTCAGTACCCACCACACAGCTGGAGTTCATGCTCAGAGGATGGCCTGAAGAAGAAAGGCAATGAGAGAAATATTAAAAATAGGACTGGAAAGGAAAGGCTTCACATTACTGTTCCAAGGTAACAACATAACAAACACTCATACCCAACTAAAGAACTCTCACATTCTGAGATGAGCAGTGGTGGCTCATAACTATAACCCTAGCTACTCAGAAGGCTAAGATCTGAGGATTAGGGTTCAAAGCCAGCCCAGATAGAAAAGTCTGTGAGAGTTTTATCTCCAATTAACCAGTAAAAAGCTGGAAGTAAAGCTATATATCGCTCAAGTAGATGTAAGCCCTGAGTGAAAAAGCCAAGCGAGAGCACAAGGCCAAGTCAAGCACACATGCGCAAGCACAGAATTCTCACATTCCATTCTTTCAACCTCACTGCCCTTTAGTCCTTCAATCCTACCCCTCTACTCCTGCTTCATTTTGAGGCCTTTGCAGATGCTACTCCCTTGACTTGGAAGGCTTTTTCTACCTACTTCACTCTGCCTCTAAAGTCCTCAGCACAGGTAGTGCCTGACTTACCATGGTTCAATTTAGTGATATTTTATTTGTCCATAGTGCAAAAGTGGTATACATTCTAGAGAAACCAGATGGTATTTTGATCTTTTCCTGCACTGGCAATATGCAGTAAAATATTCTCTCAAGATACCAGTCATCTGCAGAAAGGTACAATTTTCTCTGAGCCAGCCAGGTGGTCACCAGGAGAAATAGCCTTTATGTTAAACTGCTTTATGTTAACTGTTATAAAAACTAGCATATTACATGCAATAAGCAGATTTTTGACTTAAGTTGCTTTCAGCTTATGATAGGTTTATCAGGACAAAAGCCCATCATAGGTTGAAGGTCATCTGTATCCTCAACTCTTCCTTGGGACAACTAAGCCATCAACTTTAGATTTCTGTACATTAATCTGTGTGATTCTTTGATCACTGTTGCATACACATCACACACAAACTAGATCCCAGAGGACAAGGAAGGTATGTTAATCAGTCCTATGACAAATACCCAAGATACAATCTGAAGGAAGAAGGATTTAATTTAGCTCAGTTTCAGTCCATGCTCACTGTGGTGAGGCAGAATATGATGGAGAGAACATGGAAAAGCAAGCTCATCACCTCATGGCAGCCAGGAAGCACAGAGAGAATGTCTGCTAGTGGGCTCTCTCGTTTTCACCTTATGTGCCACACAGAACTACACTACCACCCATTCCAGTTCTGTATATGGGGAAGTCATCTTCCTCCCTTAGTTAATTCCTCTCTGGAAATACCCTAAGACACACCTAGAGGTATGCTTCACTAGCCTCCTAGGGGCTTTTCAATTTTGTCAAGTTAACAATCAAGATTAATATAGAATGAAAGTTGGGGTGTGGCTCAAATGGAAGAGTGCCTGCCCTGAGCAAAAAAAGCAGAGTGAATACATGATGTCTAAAGTTCAATCCCCAGACACTGGCATAGAAAGAACTAATGAACAAAAGAAAGGGGAAGAAAAAAGAAAGAAAGACGGGGAGGGAAGGAAGGAAAGAAAGTGTCTGCCACATTGCAAACACTGTTTCTGTTGAGTGATGAATAAAAGAAATGGAGCCCCCACTACTCCTGCCAAATCCTTAAATTAGAAAGATGGATTTATCTTAGAATTGCTGTTTAGGATGGGTCTTCCCATTATACAGCCACTTTCTTGGATACCTAGGTTTCCCAGAAAGTTCCAAAAGGCAGAAATGACCTTCACAGCTCTACAAAAACCAGTTCTCCAGAATACAGAAGGAAGAGATTGTTTGTCCAATGCTAAAGGATGAGCAGCTCCCTGACTCTGACCTATGTCCTTTCTATACTACCATGGAACAAAATACCAAGAAAATACATACCCATTAGGAGCTATTTTTATTTTTAAATCTCAAATCTGCCTGTAGTTCTAGCTACTCTGGTGGCAGAGATTGGGAGGATGGGGCTTGAGGTGAACCCTGGGCAAAAACACCATGAGTTCAAAAAGTTCCATCTCCATCACCTTTATAATAACAATAAATAAAAACTTTTTAAAAATTCCATCTCAACCAATAAGAAGTTGGGTAGAATAGTGCATTCCTGTCAACCCAGCTACAAAAAAAGCATAACAAGGAGGATTAGGGTCTAACCTGAACCAAGCATAAACACTTAAAAATAAAAAACCCTGAGGATGTGGCTCAAATAGTAAAGCAGCTACCTAGCAAGGTCCCATGCCCTGGGTTCAAGCCTCAGTAGCACATACACAAATAAAATGCCTCAAATCTACATGTGACTTGAAATTATGCTTAGTACTGAAAACAACACAGGGAACATGCACAAAGTGGAGAAGAAAAAGTAGCAAGAACATCTCTGTAGGCCAGCTACTATGGTATGCAAAGCAGCCAAGGAGCTTCTGTGTGGTGCCCAAGCACACCCTGGGCAGGGCAAGAAGACACACAAGGGGTGCACGCACGCGCACTGGAGAAGTCCGCAGCAGAAGCGTTTTCCGCGAGCACATAGGGAGGGGAGGATGCGCAGGCGCAGTCCAAGTCTAGCCCAGCCAGAGGCTCCACCTGACAAAATGGCGGGGGGGGGGGGGGGGGGGGGGGCCTGCAGTGACAAAATGGCGGGAGCGGGCGGGAAAGTGTAGGCCCCGTGGAAGGGAGGTGGTCCGGGAGGAGGAGAGACCTACGTGCGCTCTAGGGCTGTTTTACCCCCCAGACTGTGCCCACAGAGACCCCACTGCTGAACCGGACCGGCACCATGGTTTTTCTTGCAAAATGGAAACGAAAAAACAGACAAAAAACTACTAAAAGGCCTCGGGACGGCCGCTCCTTTCCACCCCTCCATTTTCCTTCCTGTAAAGGCCCTCCCACTAACCCCTGGCTCCCCCTGAGAAGCACGCCCGCCCCACGCTGGTCTGTCCGGGCCCCACGCTGGTCCAGGCCGCCACAGGGGAACCGGGTGGCCTGTGAGGCCGCGCATGCGCACACGCACGGCAGTCTGGGACTTACGGAAGTCGGCGAACGGCGAGGTGGGCACAGGCCTCAGCGGCCTGCGCAGCTCTGGACGGCAAGGGAAGGGCCGGGCCACGGGCTCGGGCGGCACCGGGGGCGGCAGCGGGGGCACCACGCAGCCGGGCAGCCATGAGGCTGTAGCTGTGCGATCGCTTGGTCCCGCGCGGCTCTGGCCACGACTGCTCGGCACTGGCTGGAAGGCGCTGGGCCCGGGGCTCCTGCCTCGCGGAGGCCTCTCCATAAATCGAGGGGCCCCGCAGCCCTCAAAGCCCAGGCCGACGCCTCCGGCGGCCGCCAGTGGAGGCGGCAGCAGGTGGAGGCCCGGGCCGGGCATGGTGGCCGCAGCAGCCGTGGCGGCCATGGCCGCAGGGGTAGTGGCCGTGGCCGCGACCGCAGCCCTGGGAACCACTGGCGGCCCCGGCGCGCACAGGGCCGCCTCGGGGTCCTCCTCGGCCGCCTGCTTCTTGAGCACCTTCTGCGCCGCCATGATCTTCTGGCGCTCGGTAATTAAGTAGCACTTCTCGCAGGTGCAGTGCTTCCAGCTGCACTTGCCCGAATGGCCCTTGACCGGCACCAAGAAGCCATGGTTCCGGCATCTGGAGCATTTCGGGGTACGCAGCGTGTTGTCCGCCAGTTTGGCAAGGTCCGCCTCACACGCCCGCCACCTTTGGGATCTGCAGCGCGAGTGGAGCAGGAGTGAGAGGCGCCCCACAAGTCCCCGGTGCCCGGGGCATTGGATACACTTGTAACAAAGTTGCTCTCGGGCTGTCCGAGGAGCGACTGCAGGACGCTTGCACTCGCTCTCCCTCCTTGGGGTGCAAAGTTTGCAGAGGGTCTGTCCACTGGGCAGTTAGGTGCAAGAGATTGGGCGGCATAAATCATTTTAAAGTGGAATGCTTGTGCTTGAGCCGTCGTCTGAATTATCTGACGCCTTGGGCGCTTAATTTTCCAAACTACCTATTCCTGCCAATCCACAAAAGGTGTTTTATTTAAAATAAAATATAAAAAAGTTCAACGATCCACAGGTTTTAAACTCCTGAGGAACCAGCTCTCTGTAAACCCGTTCCAGTAGAAAAAGCATTGGAAAGTGCAAGTCATTATTCTCTCCCCCCAAAGCTGCTGCTTGTTTTATTTCATTTTTCTCCCCTACAGAGGAGCGGTTCACAGGGATGCTTCCAGAATGTTTTCAGGAACTTAGTGCAGCGTGGTGTATGTACCCTTACAGAGATTCCCATTTCTTCAAGAGTTTCCTTGATGTTGAGTGCATTTCTAGAAGATGGGGCATTCCAGTTGTTAATACCTTCCAAAGTTAAGCATAGTTAAAAAAATATATTTTGTCAATTGTGGGGCTTGAACTCAGAGCCTGGGCTCTGTCTCTTTTGCTCAAGGCTAGCACTCTACCACTTTGAGCACTCTACCACTTTGAGCCAAGTTCTACTTCTGTTTTTTGAGTAGTTGGAAGAGTTTCACAGGAACTTTTCTGCTCGGGCTGGCTTCAGATCTCATCCTCCTGAGTAGTTAGGATTATAGGTGTGAGCCACCAGTGCTTGATTTAAGATGGCTTTAAAATAAAATAGACATGATATTCTGGAGTAGCTTGACTCAACATTCAATTCTTACGAATTTAGTTCTACCTATAAAGCAAGGGTAGAGAATGAAGTATCCCAACTTCTTGGGGCTAGTGGGACTAGAACCCATGATCAACCAAAAGAGTCACCAACACAGTCAATTGGGTTAGGAATTTTTATTAGCTGCATGGCTGCTGCTCTCCACTAGAGGGACAAATGGCTCGAGCTCAAAATGGGGTAGGCTTATAAAGGAAAAAACCACAAGGGGCCACTCACAGGTGGCCAGTGGCAGTTTTGCAATCAGCAAGCAAGGTACAAAAGCAGAGCTAGCAGTTAGTGATTATAAATGGTGATTACAATTCCAGTAACCAAGGCAATAAGTCATCAAAGCAAGTTCACATCCCAGATTTTTCCTTTGTTCTGTTCCCAATTCTGGGTTTAACTGATATTGATCAGAACCCATTCCAGGCTCTTTTAGGGTTTTACTTCTACTTACAGAATTTCAATAACCTGGTGTTTAGCTCTCTATTTTAATGAATTCTCTATCTTTAGAATTTTCCTTTTAATGACTAACCTTGAGTTTTTCTCTACAAAGAGGTCCTGCCTTTAATGTTTGGCCCTATTCTTAATAATCAATTAAAAGCCACTCACAAATGGTCGTTTCATATTTTAGCATATTTGCTGAGCAAGCAGTCATAACACAAAAACAGGATATTGGTAGTTAGCCTTGGAGACTGTCGGTCCTATTTTTGCTCACTTTTTCAAGTTTCAGTAAATGTCAGACTACGTTCCTGTTCCAGTCCCAGGGTCTGTACCTGGTATTTGTTTGTCCCAGTTAAATTTCCTCTTTCTTTGGTCTAATTAATTAATAACCTATTGTTTAATTTTGACCTGGTTCCAACAAGGAATCTTCTTTCTGCCAATGGGTGTTTGGCAGAAATACTTAATATTATTACTAGAGCATACAAAATTAACAACTTAAAAATTGGCCTGTTACATTTGATCAAAAATGTAATGAATTCACCCCTAATATGTTGTTATCTCGTATTGATGATGTTATTTTTCTAGGTTTGGTTAGTCAGGCTGGAGTGCAGTTGGCTGTTTGCATTGGTAAGTTTTGAAAAACACCTGTGAGTTGTTCCAAAGACAGGTGCTTATTTCAGTGCATGGCTACTCTAAGTTGCAAATTCATCCTTATATAACACAGAACTGAAACAGTGTGAGGTTGCTTCAGCTTATCGGTTGCTTTGTTGTTGAATGATTTCATGTCATAGGTTATCAGGCATACCAGCTAGTTCCTCCCTGAAGTATAAGTATAGCACATATGTTCAGTTCCATTTGTTTACCTTTAACATCTTTGAAAAGTTCATTAATTAGCTTCTCAAAGTAGCTTCTTACATTCACCAGTATATTTAAGAGTAAGGAAATACATCATTTTATTCTTTTCAAGTTGTCTTTTCCACAGCCTCCATTTAGCTTCAAATGATTTCACATTTAAGTCTTTTTTTGTTTTTGGTCCGGTCATGGGGCCTGAACTCTGGGCCTGGGCACTGACCCTCAGTTCTTCAGCTCAAGGTTAGCACTCTACCACTTGAGCCACAGTGCCACTTCCGGCTTTTTTCTTTCTGCTTATGTGGTGCTGAGGAATTGAACCCAGGGCCTCGAGCATGCAAGGCAAGTGCTCTACCACTGAGCCATCTTCCCAGCCCCTTATTTCACATTTAAAAGCAAGGAGCTGTGCTAGCTTCAGCAGCACATATACTAAAAATGGAACTATACAGAGAATATTAGCACAGCCATTGCTCAAGAATGTCACAAAAATTAGTGAAGTGTTCCATATTCAATAAGTAAATAAATAAAATGACTAAATCAAGGAGATGAGCAGCTGATTAGGCCCCTATAGCTTGACATTCAGCTCTGAAAGGTACTAGGTAATGACCATTGTGAATGAAAAAAATCATAGTCTTTTGCTGTCTTTGAGTTTCCTGGCAAGCCTTCCCTTTATCTCTAGGAACTTATTGATTCCATCCTGCAGTTGATAAAACCTCATGAGTTGGCATCTTCCCCGACTTATCCACCACCTTGACAGTACTAAACAAGATCACCATACTCCCAAGTTAAGATCATTCAGTGACTCATGGTGGTTGTTCAACCCTCTGCTTTTGACAAAATTTATATACATTCCTTGTTGATATCACATGGTTGAGCTGCACTGACTGCACAGAGACTTCTTCGGGGTGTGATGCAGTAACATACAATTAAATAGCTTGGATCAAGACCTAGATGATTCATTTCTTCCTTGACAAATGCAATTAACTGTTTTTTGAGCCAATCATAGCTATATCTATTTGTGGTAAAGCCATTTAACTTTTATTTTATTTTGGGTCCAGTCGTGGAGCCTGAACTCTGGGCCTGGGCACTGTCCCTAGCTCTTCAGCTCAAGGCTAGCGCTCTACCACTTGAGCCACAGCGCCACTTCTGGCTTTTTTCTTTTTTCTTATGTGGTGCTGAGGAATCGAACTCAGGGCCTCAGGCATGCAAGACAAACGCTCTACCACTGAGCCACCTTCCCAGCCTAGCCATTTAACTTTTAAATATTCACACTTTTTCATTAATAAAACAAGTCTCTCTGAGCAGTGTCCTCAACCCTAAAAACAAAACTCTTTTGCATCCTCACATCTTTGAGGGGGTGGGGGTTGCCAGTGCTGGGGCTTTGTTTTGTGTCTGTGCCAAGGCCTGGATGCTGTCCCTTAGCTTTTTTTTTCTTTTCTCAAAGCTCGCACTCTATCACTTGATCCACAGCTCTACTTCCAGCTTTTTTGTGGGCATGCCTATTTTAGGGCTTGAACTGGTGGCCTAGATGTGTGGTCCCTGAGCTATTTCACTCAAGGCTAGCATTCTTACCACTTGAGTCACAGTTCCACTTCTGGCTTTTTTCTGGTTAATTGGAGGTAAGAAGAGCTTCCCTGCCTGGACTGGCTTCCAACCTCAATCCTCAGGTTCTTAGCCTACTGAGAAGTTCAGCTTACATCCATGAGATGCCAGCACCCAGCTCAGTCCCCACATCTTCTAGGGCTATGTATGGCTTCCAATGACAGCAGTTCCTCTCATGTGTCCAACTCTGCAATTATCCATCCAACAAAAATGGGCAGTTGGGCAGTTGTAATGTCCATTGTCTTATCACAAGCTAGAGAAAAAAGTAGAAATCTGCAGAATCCTTCAGTGTTTTTCAATATCTTGTCCTGTCAGGAATTCCACCTGAGACAGTACTCCAAGACAAAATAAACACTGAAAAATTTTACTTTGATGCTAATAACTCTGCAGCAGCCCCATATACTCTTCACAAACTCACCTCTACCTGGGCCTCAACTTTTTGCAATTAGCTTTCTCACTACATAACTCATCTGATTAATGTTGTCTCTGTCACAGTGAGGCCTAGTGAAAGCTAATTGTGATTTCAGACTACACTAAGGAGCATTGATTTTTATCTAGATGCATTTGACCTCCAAATCTATTGAGTTTAGCATATTCTGAGCTATAATGGTGCTCCAGATAGGCTTTTTTGTCATTACTACTAATTCATTGACACAAACTAGGCACATAGGTTTGCTTTTGACTTCAAAAACAAAAACAAAAACATCACTTGTCTATTTCTCCTGGAAAGATCACTCTATATAGTTTTAATTTTCCTGTAATCTCCATTTGTAAGATGTCATACTACTTAGGTTTTAATAACTTTCCAGTGTGTGTCTGTTACCAACAATGCAATTATTTTGCTTTGATCTCTGTACTAATCCTAACTCTTAGATTTGGAACATATCAACGTTTGCATTGTCAACTCTAGAGGTCTTTTCTGAGTAATGTTTTCAAATCTTCATTTGAGATACAGTTTATGTGAAGATTAGTGACCATGGCCATGTATAAAGGTTAGATTAGTTATCTTCTGTGTTGGCAAAGACATTGATGAATCATTCCTGTTTGTCCCGACCCGCAGGACTTCAACCAGGGCAATGAACCTAAGCGAGAAGGAATGAAGGGACAAGAGACACGAAGAAGGACAGCAAGACAAGGATTCTGATCAAGCTGCCAAATTTTATTTTTCACACAGGGATATTTATATGCTTAGAATAAGGAAGCTTTTTCATTGGGCGTAGCAGCTGCAGGATGCTTGCTTAGGGCAATGTGAAAAGGTGGTCAATAGCAGCTACGTGGTCTTTGTTTGGGGCAGGATGCAAAGACCAGATTCTGTAAATAGCCTTGAGAGATGTTCCAGCGAGATAGTCAAGCTTATCATGCAGAGAGACTCCCTGCAGGGCTCTCGACACCTGTTGGAGGCAAGCTCATCAATGTCACAAGGAGTAACCTCTGAATATCCTCTCTTCAACACCAGATAGTTGCAGTTTCACCACAGAGTTTTGATACCTTCATAACATGCACACTCCCAGACTGCTTGGCACTGATCTCCAAGTTGTTGCAATACAGGCAGAGGGCTTGGCAGCTCATTAAGCATATGTGTCTATTCTGTCATGTATGTGTTCTATGTATACCATAGTGGATATTCCTTACTTGTCTCTCAAAATTGATGTTATTATTATAATTTCCTCACTGTAAGTTTTTTTTTTAATCCTAAGCCTTGGACTCTGGGCCTGGGTGCTGTCCCTGAATCTTTGTGCTCAAAGCTAATGCTGTACCACTTGAGCCACAGTGCCACTTCTGACTTTTTCAGATTAGTTTATTGGAGATAAGAGTCTCTCAGACTTTCCTGCCTGGGCTGGCTTTGAACCTCAATGCTCTGATTTCAGCCTTATGAGTAGCTAGGATTACAGGCCTGAGCCACTGGCACCCAGACACCTTATTTATTGAATTTCAAATTCTGCCTACAGTTGCCCTGACAGACCTAGACCAGATGATTTTGCATTTGTTGTCTGGATATTCTCTACCCTTGCTATAAAGCAACTTAAATCCTGGGAAAAGTTAGCACAGACTTCATATTGTACCTAAGGACATAAAATTATTCATATTCTTTTTTGGCAGGAATTTGTGACACTCTGAAGTGTCACAAAGAGGGTACTAGTACCCTTAAGTATTAGTATTAAGCTGAAAGTATATTGTAGATCAGTTATATTTAAGGAGGTATTTATGGTTCATGCTTGGCTAAATGTGTATTTTTCACTGCCTTTCTTTGAAATCTCTGGTGATAAGATGGTAGTAGCCACAGACTGGGAAAATCCTCCTTGATTTTCCTGAGTCTCTGAGTGAAGTCTACTTTATGTTTCCCACCAGCTCCCTAGAAAAAGGAAAAGGTTGCCACTCTCAGGCTTACTAAACCCTAGAGGGCTGAAAAGAGGTTTATAGATCCCCTTTTAAGAAATTTATATTCCTGGCCAGGAGCAATAACTTATTCCTGTATCCCAGTTGCTCTGGAGACAGAGATGAGGGGGACCAAGGCTTAAAGCCAGCCCTGGGAAGAAACTTAATGAACCTCACACTCATACTCGATTAACTGGGTACAGCTGGTAGTAGGTATCTGTCATCCCAGTTACATGCAAGCCATAATGGATGACCCTATCTAAAAAATAATCTGAAGCAAAAGTGGCTGGGGTTTGAATATCCTAGGCAGATGTTCTACCACTTGAGCCATGCCCCTCCTCTTTTTTATTTTAGTTGTATTTCAGATGGGTTCTTGAGTTTTTGTTTGGGACATGTCTCTAAGCACAATCCTATCTAAGGCCTCCTCTATACACCAACATGCTTGGCTTATTGGGTGAGATGGGTTCTTGCTAAATGGTTTTCTCTTCTTTTTATCATGTGCTGACCAGAACTTCATTTCTCCCATTCTCAGCCTCTCAAGTAGTTAGGATTACAGGTATGAGCCACCACACCTCGATAATCAGTATTTTTTTTATGGTACTGGTATTTGAACTCAGGGAGTCATTCTTGCTAGGCAAGTACTGTACTATTTGTCATCCCCTGATCTTAACAGAAGGTCAGAAATATGTTCCTTATATTATTTGGCCCTTAAGGAATTTCACTGGTAGCTTTACATCCATTTAAGCAAGTCTAGGTTTGTCTTTGCTTTTCTCCTTCTATATTAATTTTATACTTGGAATTTAAAAAAAACAGTCCTTTAGGTTAAGGACAGGCAAGCTCATTTTCTTATCTGCAGTCAGAAGACTGGGATCATAGCTACATTGTTCCACCGTATTGCAAAATATGATCATTTAGCATTATCAGATTTAAATTTGAACAGTAATATTGGATAATAATGCCTTAAAAATAAAAATAGTCATTTACATTTCATGCTTGACCACCCAAATGTCTTCATTTTCTCATCAGTGACTTAAGAAAAATTCCATATAAAGCAAACCATTTGAGTGAATATGTTTTAACCTTGTTTAAATACAAAATGGTACCATATTCCCTTAATAGCATTAGAGGGAAAATATCCCAAGGTGTTAAGAATTTGTGTAGTGCTTTAAAGACATTAATACACAAACATTTATCTTTTTAATCAGTAGTCACGTCATAAAAATGCAGAAACTCGCTGGGTGCTGGTGGCTCACGCCTGTAATCCTAGCTACTCAGGAGGCTGAGATCTGAGGATCGCGGTTCAAAGCCAGCCTGGGCAGGAAAGACCGTGAGACTCCTATCTCCAATAAACCCATCAGAAAACCGGAAGTGGCGCTGTAGCTCAAGTGGTAGAGCGCTCACCTTGAGCTGAAGAGCTGAGGGACAGCGCCCAGGCCCAGAGTTCAAGCCCCACGACCGACAACAAAAATAAAAATTAAGAAAAATTAAAAAAAAATAAAAATGCAGAAACTCCAGAGTTTATATATTAACAAAT